ACCGATACAGGCCCTTCAAAGAATGTTCTAAGAATTGCTTGCGGTCTGCACGAAGTGCTCGGAGCATTTCTGGTCGAGGCTGTCCTGTTTTAACAGATCGGGTTGATGTTATAAGAACACTGCTTGTGTTATTCGAACATGTTTGGGTTCTGAAGACAATTCGTGGTAGGCCTATAGGAATGCCGGACGGTCGGTCCCTGCTCGCGCTTGGGGGGGCAGGCCAAGTTGATCCCAGAGTGGCTTGAGAATTGATTTCGGAGCGCATCCGGAACAGCGCGCAGATTCTCCCGACTTCTCACGGCGGCAAGCCCCAGCGGGGAGCCCCACAGATCGGCTGCAAAGAGCCGCCGGGCGAGCCTCGGACGGGGCCCCAAATGTTCCAAGATGGAGAGGAAGTCGGCTCCGACAGGTCGTTGGGAACCATATGGAATTCGAGTTCGTCTTGGACGCCGTCCTGGAGACGTCAAGGAGTAGGAGAAGGAGAGGAGGAGGAGCAGGAGGAGGACGACGAGGAGGAGGAGGAGGAGAAGGAGGAGGAGAAGGAGGAGAGAGGAGGAAGAAGGGAACGTTTTGGGGGAACGTTTTTCGGGGGAATGGTATTCGAGTTCGTCTTGGACAGCGTCCGTGAGACAATTTGGGCCCTCAAAAGGAATGGATACCGTAAGTCGCCGCGGGCGGCGGAGTGGCAGAGCCCCTTTCCCTGGGGAAGTCGGCTCCGACAGGACGTTGGGAACGAGATGAAACTCGAGTTCGTCTTGAACGCCGTCCTGGAGGCGTCTTGGGTTCAGTCGGGCCTGTCCCTCTACAGGAGGAAGTTTTCCAAGTAGTCAAGACATAATCTGGGGACGAGTTTTTGATGTTTGTTTGCCCATTTAGGGTGTCTTTTTAGTATTTTGTTTTGCCCAAAAATCCCCCTGTAGGGGGACAGGCCCGACTTAAGTCTTGGGCCCTCGAGGGAAGGGATACCGCAGGTCGCAGCGGGCGGCGGAGTGGCCAAGCCCCTGCCGTGGGGAAGGAGCGTGTGCATCTTTCCCCTCGGCGAGTGCCACCGATAGGGGGCCACATGCGAACCCTACCCCTACCCCCCACGGTTTCTGAGGGGGAGGGTGGGGTTCATTTCGTCTCAGAAACCGTGGGGGGTAGGGGTAGGGTTCGCATGTGGCCCCCTAACCAAGGAACACCCTGGATCATCGAGCAGCAAAAAAAACAACAACAAACAAACACAAAAACAAGCAAGCATAAAACAACAGCAACAAACAGCGCACGAAACCAACAAGTGCACGGGACACGGACGTCCGAGCGACAGCAGAGAGCGGCGGCAGCTCCAGGCGCCAAGGCCTGAAGAGAGGCCGGGCTTCGGTTCGCACGCCACCGGAGCCCGGCGGGCGGGCGGACGAGGCCTGTGCCATGTCGCCTCCGAGGCGGGAAGTTATACACGACCACCGCCTGGAGGGTCAGTTTTCGGAGCCTCAGCAGGCGGTGGATCTGGACATATTCGGGCCCCCTGGGGCCAAAATATATGCATGTCCACCGCCCGCTGGGGCACCAGGACGTCGGTTCCCAGGCGGTGGATATGGATAAATCCCCACCTCGCATCGCCAGCCTCCAAAAGAAGAGGGAAGTCTTCGAAATTTGCGAGGACTGAAAGGGTTTGGGGACCCTCCTGGAGCTGTCTGGGCTTTCCCGAGCCCGCTGGGGAGGCCTTTAGGCCGGATTGGCGCTTTCGTTGGGCCTCTTAGATGGAGGCCATTGGAGGCCCTCCTGGGCCGGTCTGGGAGCCCTTAGATGAAGCGCCCCTTTCGGAGCATGGAAAAGCTCACCTCCGTGGGGCTCTTTCGGGGCGCTCCCAGGATGCTCTCGGAGGGTATTTTGGGGCTGGCTTGGGGGCCCGTCTGGTCCTGTCCTGGAAGCCTTTCGGGCGACCCTTGTGGGGTGTCCTGAGGCGCCCCCCGCCGGGCTCTCGCAGAGTTGCCCTTCAGAAATTCTGCTCCACAAAAAAGAAACTACACAAACGTGAGCATTCCTACAGTAGGTTCGTGTCGCATCGACGCAGCGGCGAACTCATCACGGGGGCGTTCAGGGTTGAATGTTGAACGCCGCCAATGACCCAGAATCGGCCAACATGGCACGATCTGGCGATCGAAAAGCCAACGAAGGTTCAAGGCTGAACGATCCACGCGGTGTCAGAACTGGAGGTCGTCACAAATTTGCCGTACAAGTTCACAGATCCGCGCGGATTCCTTGGGTCGGTGCTGGACACCGTTCCCTGGGCTCGCGAAGCGCCAGGCGCGTCGCTAGAGGCGCCGTCGGAGGGGCCCAGTGCAGACCTCAGACAAGTCAGCGAGGACCCCCGAGAGAGTACGTGTCAATGCAATTATTTGTTCTTGTGTGAGCGGCTAGAAAGAGTACTTGTAATGAGGAGGGGACTTGGGACGGGAAGGTGTATTGCAGCATCGTTTGCACATGTCGGGTTTGCCCTGGTCCTCCTCCTCCTCCTCCTCCTCCTCCTCCTCCTCCTCCTCCTCCTCCTCCTCCTCCTCCTCCTCTTCCTCCAAATGATCCTTCAGGGTCGAGGATCGAGGATCAAGGCTTTCGTTGCCCTTTTCGACCTGCTCGGGCCTCTGGAGGCCTCCTGGAGGCCTCTGGAGACCTCTGCAGGCCTCTGGGGAACCTCGGCTCCTCCGATCCTCCCCCCGTCCTGGCTGCAGCGCCGGGGCGCCCGGGGAGGGCATCCCTCCCGCGTGCGGGCCGGGAGAGCGGGTCGACGCCCGTCTCGCGCGCACGCCCCTCCCTGCGGCGAGCGCCGGCCTGACGCGCCCGCTTTCTCGGGGCTGCCGCGGCAGGACGGGCTTCGCGCCAGGGGGCCCCAGACATCCGGGTTCGATGCGCGGGCCCCCCGCGGTCTCAGGTCACCCCCAGGGGCGCAAAGGTAGTCGCGCTTCGCGCATCGCGGCGTGGGTTGGAGAGGCGCCCTCCTCCAGGGCGGCGGCGCGAGGGCGCGAAGAACGTCGCGCATCGCGGTGCGCGGTGCGGGAAGTTAGCTGCCCTGCCTGGGAGGTTTTGGGCCACTTCCATCGGCCCGAGGGCTTGCATTTCGTCCTGAGTCGTTTTGTTGACGGTCCCGGGGCCCAGTGGGGGCCCCGAGGGCCGAGAGGGGCCAGACATTGGCCGCTCGGAGGCTGGACGCGAACCCCCCCAGCCCATCCAGAGACGATGCCCAGGCGAGTTGCCCTGAGCAGGGATGCGGAGGAGCATGCAACGGAAGCAAGGGCTAGGGAAGCCGTCATGGGGGAGGATGGAGGAGGAGTCGGAGGAAGGGGAGGGGAAGGGGGAGGGGGAAACAGGGAGGAGGGAGAATAGGAGGAGGAGGAGGAGGAGGAGGAGGAGGAGGAGGAGGGCGAGCAGAATAGCCAGCGGCCTCTTGGATGCATTTCGGAGGCTCTTCGGATGTCCCTTGAGATCTTCTTGGAGTCCTGTTGGAGCGTCTTGGGGGCCTCTTGGCGGTCCTGGGGGCATCTTGAGTTTCTTGGGTGTCTCGAGGGATCCTCTTGGAGCCTCTTGCGGACCTCTGGGGGGCCTCTTGCGCATGATCCTGATTTTGGTGCAAGTTGCATATTGCATTGATGTTATTGCAATGGATGGTGGGGGGGAAGTTGGCATTGCACACAACAGACAAGAAACCGGCCCCAACGCTGTCCCTGTCAAAAACACATTACAATTTTCGCGGGTCGCCCGCGCACGATCCAGGTGTTGGTACAACGCGCAGTTTGCACTGTTGTTTGCCAGGGGTGGTGGTGGGGGGGGCTTGCATGTCACACAGCAGGCAGTGTATGTCGACCCCCCCACACACGCCATCCATGTCAAAAAGCCAGTGCAACTTGATCACGGGCCGCCCGCTCACGATCCTGCTGTGGTGCAAGCTGCAGGCTGCACGGATGCAGTGGCAGCGGGTACAGGAGGGAAAGAAACGCACAGACACAAGTAATCGTCGACCCCCAAGGAAATGTTGGAAAATATGGCATGTGGGGGGATAGACGAAAACCCAGAACATATGCGGAAATGTAGAGGATCCAGGGATTATGTGTACTTAGTTGTACGTCCCTGGGCCCCTTTGTGGATGTTGGGGGCGGGCCTTGGCCTCTACGCACGGCAGGCAGCATGCCGGCCCCCACGCCGCCCCTGCCGAGAACGAGCGCACGGTGATCGCGGGGCGCCCGCGCACGATGCAGATGTTGATACAGCGTGTAGTCTGCACGTGTTCCGTGCCAGGGAGGGAGGGAGGGGGGTGCTTATTTAATCGCTTCGCTCATTCCGCCGGCCCATATTGTCGCACCGTTGTGGGCTAGCCGAGTTTTGGGGCCTCTTGGGGGGGAGGGAGGGGGGTGCTTATATTCATTTTTGATACAGCAGGCAGTAGATTTGTGGGAGTCGATTCATGGAGGGGAAGCACGATACCACATATGTTCCAGATGCCTAAGACGTGTTTCAAACATGTTTTAAACATGTAAAAGCATGATTGGAACGTATGTGGAACATGTCTTATATATTTGAAACACATCTTGAACTCCATGATAAGATTGTTCGAGTGTCCATTGTCATGGCATCCACAACAGTAGATCGACCCCCATCCACCCATCCCTGTCAGAAACCATGCAGAGTGATCAAAAGGCGCCAGCGCCTGATCCAGATCTGGTGCAATCTGCACTTGGCATTGCTTCTTGTTCAAGGGATGGTGAAGGTGATGGCAGTGTCCTGGGTTTGTCGCGGGTTGGGTGGGGGAGGGGGCGTCTCTGAATCAGGACCCCTCCCCGAAGAGGCAGAGAACGGGGGGATGGAAAAGGCAACGCTCGAAGCCACTCACGCCCAGAGGGCTGGTGGGTTTTTTCCTCGGAGCCTCGCATCTCTGGGGTGGGCGGTCCGCGACCGCTCCTCGGCTCCAGCCTGCCGCGGGCCCGTCGCGCGGGCCCGTGGCGGCCCGCCGCCGCGCGGCGCGCCGCCCGATGGCGGCCCAGGGCGCCTCCGGCGCCTCCGTGCCCGGCCCGGGCGGCGCGGCGGCCGAGGCCCCCGCCGCGGCGAAG